TTTCACCTCCCGTTTGCTATAAATAGAGGCGAATTTTCATTTGTTTGAATACACCCAAGTGAGGAAAGAAATATAGATTAGAGAGAGTTTGAGAGGTTTTTAGATAGAGTTTGTAAATTCTCTTGTAACATTCTATTCAAGTAAGAAATAGAATAGTTTTTCCTCTTATAACTCCTTTTTCGTGATCGGAGAATCACAACACCATATTCTGCATCACAAGTGCCTGTTGCTTCGAAAAGATGTCCTGAGCATAATTATAAAGCTGTATATCAAGGCTGTTCAGTGATGTAATTTCCTGGAGAAGCAGCTTGGGTACCTTACAACGAGCCTGAAAATTGTTAAGCTAATGCTATCAATGGCAAGGATGGGAAGAGTACATTATATAAGGACAGTTAATAGGAAGTCAGAAAATTGAACGCCTGCATGACAGACCAATTTAAACTATCATACCTCTTTTGTAAAGTTTGCAGGAGAAATTCTTTTCAAAGATATTGCAAGTCGCTCTGATTGGGAGTTCCGTAAGCTTGAAATACAGGACTCATATGCTTCCATAAGTTTTCCAGCATCCATCTGTCACAGTGGCAGGGAGAACTTAGCCTGCTCAAAAGAAAATAAAAGAAACGAAAAGAAAGGGGAAGATCCCGATATTAACATGAAGAAATTCAAGCCATTGATGGGGGTGTACATTACTATTTGCTGCTTCATCCTTACTAGCTGATGATACATTCTTTAGCTCTCTGAAGTGTTGTTTTCCTGTTATTTTGGTAAAATGATATATAACAGTCCTAGAATTTCAATCTAAAAAGATTGTTAAAAGCAAAATTGCAGTCACTCCGTACTTGATGATTTGCATCGGACTTGGAATTCAGAAGCAAGGATCTCTGTTCTGCAGCAGAAGTAGAACATGGTTTAAGGAAAACCACTATCACGTAGGCCAGCTTAAATTTCATAACATTTATCATACACATCAAAAGAACAATTACTTCAATGAAAACATTTATAACATATTTTTCTCAATCGAGCTTAGTTAGGCAGACAGTTAACTGATATAACACATTTTTCTCAATTGCGGTCCATTCATAAATCAACCTGCTCTAAGATAAAAACGATGTCTTTACAATTAAGAGTGAAGACAACTAACCCATTTTTTTTGGTGTCAAGCAAACAAGAAATTGCTAACATGGTTGCCTGAAGCTATATAACATCCAAGACTTAAAAATTCCATATCTTTGATTTTATTTGTTGCAACAAAGACAAAATTGACAGGTTATTTGAACCAGTAACTTCTGATTAATAAACTGAACCATTGATCAGAATCTGAACTGGAGTTTGATTTCGTCAACCGAGAATAAACTTGCGAACAGTGGCTGACTTACTGTGTTTCTCAGTAAGTCCGACACACAACATATGATCCAATCTCTTCTGCAAGATTTACAATGATCTACTACGATTCAAACCATATAATAAAGAAACAAATCAGAAAGATAATATTAATAATCCATGTTATGCATGAATGTGGAAACCTTTATCCATTACCTTCGCAACTTCAAGTACATATTGACCAAGAATCTGATACTTTAGCACACAATGGCGCACTGCGTGTGATTCGGCTAAACAAGAGTTGTTTGTAAGTCCTGCAATCTATGAATCAAAAAATAAATCAGTAAAGTGAATACTTTTGAAATCTAAATTAGAGACATAAGGTATATGAAACACAACAAATAACACAAATCACAAGTGAACATTTATCACTCCACGTATCTGTCACTTGCTATTCTCTTTGTATCCCAGCATATCCATCTCTCAGTGGCCAAATTTAGGAATAAATCTTGGACAATGAGGCACTAACTACTTCTATGCTGATACAAAGTAAAACTGCACAACATTTTTCACACAGCCTCAAAGCTCATATGTCATAACTTCCATTCAAGCCAGCTATTTTTGTGTATATTATATAATGCGCAAGTACTGCACAATTTTCATGACTGGTCAAATGTTTAAGATTGTATCCCCAAATTTATAGTGTAACAATATTGTTATGAGCTTTCTGTGTCAATGGTTCAACTTCTAAATCCCACCACCGAGAATATTAAAGAAATGACCACATAAAGATTAGAATAAAGCTATGTGTACACAATTTTTTACACAATGTTTTACACCCCCCTCACATGGAGGGGGGCCCACACATAATAAAATAATCGTGGACCCCCTCCATGTGAGAGAGGTGTAAAACATTGTGTAAAAAAGTGTGTGTACACGTAGCACCACTCTAAAGATTAACAGCGTGTTTGGCAAAGCTTGAGTATAATTTAAGCTGCACAAACGTACTTTTTATCAACACATATCATACGACCCACAACTTACTATAAACTTATTAGTCACACATTCTTAGAACCCATTTGTTATAAGCACTACCAAACAAGCACTAAGACCTAAAGAGCACTAGATTACAATACTTGGAAGGTGGCCCCATTGTGGATGATGTTTCAAGCAATAGGATCATTGATGTAATCACGTAGAGGCATCGAATTTCTTCCATATCATATGAGTCATTACTTATGATATAAGATTGGCCTTTGCTAATTCTAGCATCCCTCTGCCATATCAAATATAATTAAATAACATTCCGATGGTGCCATTAATCCAGAATCGAAGGATGAAAACAGCAAATCAAAGTTTTAGAAATTTGTGTTGCAAAAGAATGTTTGTAATCCCAGACATTTGTTCCACCTGCGAAGTGCACATTATATGATTCACCGCTGACTTGAACAGATAATAGAATCATGACAGACGCCTAGGTCAGTAATTACTGTTAACCATTGTACACTAGATGTGAGTGGGGAACCTGATTGCAATCTTTTGAATAAAGTCGTCTAAAGATTTCCAAACACTACAATGAACATGATGAGACACAGAGAACCTAGAAAATATTTTACATTTACTGTATTTTAATCCCAATTTTGTCCAGAACCTTCACTCTCCAATTATTGTATTAAAAATGATTCAGCTACAGTTTGTAAATTAATTTACAAATTCTAATGTCTCTTTACAATTTTTTTTTCAAGAATCAGGTTAGTCAATGGATATATATTCAGAGGATTGGCTTGGAATATAAATATGGAATGGAATTAACAAAGAGAAGTGCTGAAAAGAATGAAGCTGATCTGAATGCTTATCCCATTTCTAAAGACCATGACACCACGAAGAAACTAACTTTATCTGCAACTTCTACATCTTAAAAATTTTGACTGTAAATTAAGAATGTACAATGTGCAAATGTTTAGTCCTAGCTAAGATGGATAGGGCATGCCACCGAAAGGACAGGCATTCAATAAAAATAAGTGTTTCATGGCAAGAAATAATAGAGTAAGATTGGTTTAAGAAGGAACATTAACATGACTTCAATTGGTTTGAGAAAAATCAACACGGCTAAGGTGCGATACAACTGCGAAGTTGTCAGAATAAAGAAGTTGAAATCGTAATATTATGATTTTGCTTCGACAACAACAACATGCACTATACTTGATTAAGCATTTGCAGAGAAAAATACACAAAAGCCCCTAGAGAATTATCGTGTAAGGATGAAAGAGGAAAACCCATAAAGGAGGTTTCCAAAACTAGTTGCAAAACGTACTCGAGCAAATAGATCTTCTCTCATCCAAGGGATCGAATATTTGGGGGAATTTTTATAAAAGGCCTAGTCAAGCCCTTCGAAAAAAATTTAGGCCTAACTTACCATAGAAAAGTTTTCGAAGTCTTTTTTAGGTTAAAATATCCAAATTATTCTTTTAAATATTGTTGAAATATCTCAAATGCCCTTACCATATAATGACCATAAAGAAACTCTTATATTTCTACATTTTATATTGGTTAGATATTATTTTCACTTTTAGTTATTTTTTAATCTTGTTTTTTTTTATTTGTCCATATATTGTTTGAATGTATTTTTCTATCTCAAGTAGTTTTGAAAAATAGAATCTCGTATATTTTTTAATTACAGATTCATTACAAACATTTTAAATAATCGAGTAAAACAACCACAGTCATTTTAAACGACCACAGAAATTACCGCAGTTACTTTATATTACTGTCATTGATTATTTGCTAACATTCTAAAATCTTATTATTCTAATTACAGATATGGACTCAACAACATTGATTTCTATATTTTATTTGGGTGATTTTGTAAATGATGATCAAGAAAAATGAACATGAAAACGAAGTGGGAGTGATGAAGTGTGGAAGGAGTTCCAATATCTTTAGATACTTTATATCATGATCTGTATTGTGAAGTGCTAAATCTTTGCAAAGTTGATTCATCTTCGTATGAAATTGAGATGAGATTTCTTCTCCCTGAAAATGGTCAGTTTATAGTTCCAATTAAAATTACCCCAGATAGGCAAGTGCAGTGATTGCTATCTCTCAACAAAAAAAAAAAAATAAATAAAATAAGATAATGATTTATTTGTGTAACCCTTGTGAGCAAATGTCTGGTTGAACATCCACGAGAAGAAGAAGATAATGATTTATTTTATGAAGTGGAAGACGATGAAGTTTATTGTGAAATGCAAAATGAAGGTGACAATCTTCATTATGAAATGCAAGCAGATGATGACGACGAAGTTGATCAAACTTAGAATATGCATTGGGATGAGTTGAAGATAGCTCAAGATAATGACGTAGATATTATAACTAAAAATTGTAAAACTATTGTTTTATCTACAGATGAATTCGAGATGTTTCAAAACAATAGAGAAGAAAATCATTTTACAAACGAGTACCTTGTAGCTTCAACTCATACATCACATGTGATTCCCGAAGATACAGATTTAGAAGATCGCCAAATTTTTAACACAAAAAAAATCTTATAATGGAAGTCCACATGCTTGCAACGAAGCCCAACTTTGAATTTAGAGTGAATAAATCAAATAAGAAAATCTATACAATTGTTTGCATAGATGAAAATTGCAAATAGTGTTTGCGAACAACTAAATTAAGAAATTGTGATTACTTTCAAGTTCAAAAGTGTGCACATGAACATACTTGCTCTGTGAGTATTCGCAAAAATGATCATAGACATGCAAGATCGTAGATTGTTGGAAGATATATAATGTCTAAGATTCAAAATCCCAACACAATAATTGGACACAACCGACTAACACATACAAGTCAAATGCCTTTAGCTGATTGAAGATTGGAGGACTAGTATATTGTTTGTTTGGTTTATTTCATGTTGTTTAGAAAACAATACAAATTGATTTCAACTTATTACTATGGATGCTCTATATTGTGAGTTTTTGTTGTAATTCATGCCAAAATTATGTTTTATGAATGTTGGACAATTTTTTGCTTGTTCAATTATTTCATAAAACAAGTGATGAATGGAAAACGACTCCGATCATTTTAAACAACTACAATTGTATTAAGGAAAAACGACTGTAGTCGTTTAAAATGACCGAAGTCATTTTCAGTTTTACCAAGGCTTCGACCGCTGTTTGTACATGAAAATGACTGCAGTCTTTTTAAACGACCCGCATATCGTTTTTCAATCATATGCTCATTTTTCTATACATTTTTTAACAAAATAATTCAAAATCAAACCAAAACACGATTTAGAATATTATACATTGTGATTTAACTTATCCAAATCAATCAACTAAATACTTAGAACATTATGATTTAGCTTATCCGAATCAATTCGCATCCCATCTTTCATTATACATTATTGTCTCCCCGAATAATAGGTTGTGAATTAATTGAGCAAATACTATCATGTCCCTGATGTCATACAGTTTACCAAAGCACGACTTCAAGAACATCTCCTTATGGACTTCATCTAATGCTTCATACACTTTTTTCATATGCGATACGTTAGAACGTGTTGTAACCTTCGCATCACAGCGATC